CTCGACCTACAACGGAAGAAAAAGAGTGTGTTGTTCTTCCAAAATGTACAAGTAGAATATGGACAGTACAGATGTTGCTTTTGGGTGAATAGATTAGGACTAACTGTTAGTAAAACACTTTGCTAATGCACTATCATGTTGCAAACTTGTAGGAAATTAAAATGATTTCAACATCTATTTCACAATCTGAGAAATCTACTCACTGCTGGATTCTTTCCACAACTTACTTGTAGTTGGAAGGATCCAACTCAATTCATTTACAGGCACTACACATATGGATCCTAAATGAACTTTTGGTCAAGAACTTCACACAAGAAACCAACAAACTAATACCCAATATTTTAGCTTTTTCCAATGCTGCATTATCATAATTTCTTGTTGATGTCTGACTAATGTGGTTATTTCTTTCACATTAGTATCGAGCACTGTCCCAATGGTTGAATCAGATCAACCATTCATCACATCCATGCAGCAACTACATGAAGCAGCTGTAAAACCAAAAGAAGAACATCCGATCATAGCTGAAACATGTGATATACCTCTCTCTCTCTCATGCTGAATAGAGATGATTGAACCCCAAGGATAGTGGAGATGAGTTAACTGCACTCAAGAACACTTAAGCCAAGTCACTAAAGAAGAAATGGCACATTCAACCGAAGAACTCATCCCCCCCCCCCCATGCAGAAATATACATATCTTAATCGTGTATCCCATGAAGCTGCATGCACTTCTGCTTCTTCTCAGACTCAACTCGACGACAACCCTAACAAGCTCACATTGTGTTCAACGACTGCTGTATAACATGTGACAGACTGAGCAACAAGCCTAGAGAGAAGGCAGTGCGCAGGCCTCCGGCCAGAAAATGATCGGCTTTACTTACTGAAACCAGAGTCAAAAATCCAAGAGAAACCAACAACGAGTTGGTCAGAGACTGGTTGCTTGCAGCAGCACAGGTTAAACTTCACGTACACAATCCCTGTTCTCCCGCACAGTGATCCGCATGCAATGCGCGGCAAAGATCCAACACAGGGGCCACCACATATGCCATTCCTATCGATCATTCCTCTCGTTGCAGCGGTAACTGTGTGTTCACGTGAGGAAGAGCTCGAACTTGCGCTGCAGAGAACGACGACCCATCGATCATGTTCTCCGGTGATTGACCTCATTAGATGAGTTACAATATCCCATAGAATTAGCTCCTCATACACATGTATTATGCATGAAGAGTACACATATTATGTGGTTTGGAAACAGATATATGGTTTTTCATGGGAAAAGAACCATTAACTTGTATATATCTTCTGTTCTTCTGCAACTTTCTATATCACTTTATCTACTTCTTGAAGACGTGATAAATTAGAGATGGAAAACAAAAACTGTTTTAATTTTTGTGTGGAAATTAGTGCATGGAAATGCGACAATTTTAGATGGAAGGAATCACGCAAGGAGGACAACAATTTAGAGGGGAATTGCTTTACTTTTGCAGACAGTGCATGTTTGGCTTGTCTGCATATAGTATTTCGAAGGACTGTTGTAAGATGCTCTTTCTGCCAATTCGAGATCTCCATATCACATCTGAACTACTCTTCGTAGATGAACTGTGCATCCGATGTTTCAATGGTTTCTTATGTCCAATTCACCTTTACAGCAGCAAGAATAATAGTTCGAAACTGAAGCTGCATAATTCAAACTATAATATTAGGTTATCTTATATAATGAATGGTTATGATCACATAAAATGGACTCTTCTGAAATCACTATTATTGCAAACATTATCAAACTATAGACTTTTGATATGGTAAAATGGAGAAGCAAATTTAGATGACATAATGTGATTACTCTCTCTCTCTCTCTCTCTCTCTCTCTGTGAGACTGTTGGATTAGGATTCAGTATTAGGTTTTCTGAGCTTCTTAATTTGTGGGAGGCTGGTCTTCTTGTCTTGCCAATTATTTGAAACGTAGCTGGCGAGATCCTTGCACTGTCACACAAATGTTCATGGGTCCTACGACTTCGACGTCCATGGCCAACTTCCAAGGCCTCTGCAAAAGAGGAAGGACGTAACCAGTTGCATGCAAACCATAAACATCCATTTCTTGACCTGACTCATGCATGCAGTCTCCCTGTTCATTTTTCCCGGTCTCAGACTTCAAAACTTACGCTACACACACCTTCAAGACTCACATCTCACATGGACACACACACACACACACACACTAGGAAGAGGAGAGACAGAGGGTTGGCCACTGCTAAGCTACAGTAAGGTGATCACTGTTGCGTTATTCTCATGGCATGCATCGCAGTTTGGGGGAACATTTCAGGTCCTTAAATCTATTGGTGCAGCTGCATCTGCTGGCTTGCTATGTTGAGTACAACTGCTACTGAAGGAAGCGTCAGGATTCTGGAATTCTCTGCTGCTTATGGAGTGCTTTTCATGCATGGTAGGTAGGAAACCAATTGATAGGTCTCTAAGCTGGCTCATTGGTTTGATTGGCAAGTAAAAAATCTAAGTATGCTTTCTTGTTTTTTGTTAGAATCAATCTAAAACCCAATTAAAGTCCAACCTTACATACACATATATATACATAAACATAGAGAACTTCTAATCTGTTTCCTTCTTTTCATCATCAAGAGCTTGTATGATATAAGATGTTACTTGAGTCACAATACATGATTTTTCTTTTTTTTTTAAGTACATTTAGGAATAGGAGAGGAGAGTATAAAAATCTATAAGTGAATATACTGTACATCCTAGAATTGTTTATGTAAAAATTGATAATCGTCATGGAGTTGATCAATTTTTCAAAACCCGTTAGACGATTCTTTCAAGAAAAATTTCTTAATGGTCCTAAAATTATTTTGGGTAAAATTATTTTGATGCTCAAATTAGTCTGAGACATTTTGTGAGAATAAAAAAAAGAAGGTTCAGAATCATCATATCTGAGAGGAGAGGCTCTTATGTATGAGCATCCAAGAAAAGGTCCTTATTTATAGTGAGCATAGAAAAGAGTATTCTTTAAATCAAGAACATTCTGATTTGGTTCTAAATGTCCCAAAATATTGACCATATAAGAAATATTAGAAGTTAAGCTATCAATAATTTCTTTCTTATATATTTTTTTTCTATGAAACATTAATAACATGAACATTAGTTATACAAGATTTGAGGATCATTATAATTAAACAGATACAAGACAACCTTCTTTCTTTTATTTTTTTTCTATGAAACTAACTACACTTGTAGGTTATACAACAATTACAAAAATAATTTATGACTGACATTCAGTAATTTATCTAATTAAAATAAATTATCTTAATGTGGATTGTATATATAATTCACACCTTATATAATGAATTAATGTTTTTTTTGGTCTACCCTATGACTAGGTTTATGACTATGCATTACTGTATATGCATCTATGTAGTTTGTATAAAACATAAAATAGAAGACATCAATTGTTTTCTGACAATCACAGCTAAAGATAATTTTATATTTCATTATATACTCAATACATGAATTATTTTACTGACATTCTTACTTGTCATGAGTTATAATAATATATATAGATACATAAGTGTTCATAATGCTTAACAATTTTGTGTGCTCAGGTAAAAAAAATAAAGTTAATTTGGCCAACATTTAACTCTTCTTCATGTAATTATTTAAGTGTTGATTGACAGGATCAAAAACCTCATTATAATTCAAACATAATACTAATTGGCTTTTAAAGCTGAATAAAATATGATGCAATAATCAATCAAACCAATATGTTAAATACTTGAAGTAATTTAAGGAACACAATAAAATAAAACAGTCATTTTTATTTGTTTCTAATGAAAACAACAAAGTGCATGTTTTCTTCTCTGCAATTCATACAACATATTGTTTTATCATATCAATGCCAACAAGTTGTCCTCTTTCAATTGAAAACAATATGATTATATGTACAGTGGGGGACTCCTATCACCTATTCTTGTAGGATAGGCTCCACAGTAATGTAGCCATTCCATCATTAGTGATCAAATGACTATAATAATTGATGAATATTAGGCTTATAAAGCAATATGTTTATCATTTGTAACCAAAAGATAACATTTGTTTATTGTTAGGAACTGATTAGTGTTTATCAAATGACTGTAGTGAAGAACTAATTAGTGAACACAACTCATAGCTACAAGTATTTGCTTATGGAATTCTTTCTGAGGCCTTTGGAGTTTTAAGATTTCTTGACTCCATATTATTCCCACTACATAAACTATATAGGAGATTTTGCCAGGCATTGGCATTAAAATCAATGCCAAAAGCTTCCTTTGGTCTCCAAACTTGTCTCAATGTCTCCTTCAAAAACTTGGGCTGTTGTTTCACATTGTTCACATCAACAAGTCCTATGAAGTTCCTCAAATTAAAGGGTGGAATCTTCATCTTTTTATAGCCATCACAAGAAACATGTAGTAGAGGAGCTACTTCCATGTTCTATCTACTTCATTACAAGTAGCATAAATTTGGATTAGTGCAATAACAAATACTTACATGTTGATTATTATACACTACAAAGTCTGAAACTTCTCAGTATGAGTTATCCTACAAACCTGCAGCCTAAATCCTACTCCCTATTGGGGTTTTCTTAACAGTAAGCACTTGGATGTTCTTGGTGGTCATATTAGGAGAAAAGGTCTTGGTTGCATCACCAAATAATATACATATAGATAAGCAGTACCAAGGTCATACTGGTCACCTCTGGATTTCATCTTTTAATCTGCAGACACTTGTCTTTGAGTGATACCTAGGGTTCTTCCTTGCCTGTTCTGCCCTAATTAACCCAGGTTAATCATCTTGGCTAGAAAAGATGAGACTGTTGTCACCCTGAATTGCTTGGCCAGCCATGCATGAGGCTTGGAGAAACATGCATGGACCTCCCACTTTTTGAGTAGCTCTCACTCCATGCCAAGAGAGACGAGGGAATCCTTTGTCCTCCTCTCTCACACCCAAAAACCTCAGAAGCCAACCATTTCTCCATTTGTCCTCCTCCTCCATTCAAAAACCAAAGGCACAGCCCCTACTTGGTTCTTCCTCACTTGTGTGCATGAGGAGGTGTCCTGATGGTGCTGCCCTCCTTATGATGGTCCATTTCCTCCACCTGGTAATCATCCCCTGGATTCAATTCCATCATGCAGCCTCAAAGCCTTTCCCTCCAACCCAAAGGCTGCCCTAAAACCCTAATGGTGACAAGCCTGTTCGATTACACTAGAGCAAATACAGCTTCTTGGTTTCCAGAGTCTGTCACCAGCTGCAGACAAAACCCATGCAATTCCCCACTTACAAGAAGAAAACACTTGGAAAGACTCCCGTTTATGTGAGTGGGTTTGATGAGAACCTTACCATTTCTACTTCTCTTACATGCATACATGAAGAGACAAACACAGGCAACCATCAAGTAACTGTAGAGTGAGAAGGAGTCACCCTATCCTTAAACCTCCTCTTTGCGAGCTTTCTATCTCCTCCTCCTCCTCCTCCTCCTCCTCCTCCTCCCCTAGTGTCTTTCATCCCATCTTTCTTGGCGTCCAGGAGCCATGCATGAGCTCTGTGATCTCAAGGTCCTTGTCGATGGGCAGCACACTTTCCTCCTCCACGAGGTGTTCGATCTTTAACCCCCTCCTCTCATGTGATGAATCGTTTCAAGAAATCTGAATCTTGTTGTGTCTTGGCTCTAATGCAGAAGACCATCTGCTCGTTCTCGGGGAGGATGAAGAAGATGGTGAAGCAGGAGCGCAAGAGAAGCCAAGGCAAAGGCTGGGCGGCGCTCAAGATGATGGAGTTCCCCGGCGGCCCGGATGGGTTCGAGTTGGTGTCAAGATTCTGCTACAACGGCGGGAGCATCGCGATGAGCCCAGCCAACGTTTGTGTCCTCCACTGCTCTGCGATTCTTCTTGAGATGACCGAGGAGGTCGCCGCCTGCAATCTGTTGAGGCAGACGGAGACGTTCTTGGAAGGCCTGTTCTACTGGACGTGGAGCGAGATCTTGACGGCCTTGAAGAGCTGCGAGACCTTGTTCCCCACCGCTGATTCCTCCGGCCTGGTCTACAAGCTCATCTCCTCTCTCCTCGAGAAGATCTCGGCCAATTCAGGGACGCCGCTTACGTCCGCGACACTCTGCCCTTCCTCCTCCTCTTCCTCCTCGTCGCCCGAGACCTCCGGCCTAATGCGCTCTTCATCCACCAAGACTTCCGAGGCCAGCAAGCCTTGTTTCGGTAGGGAGTGGTGGTTCGACGATCTCACCAATCTGTCCCCCACCATCATAGAGAAGATGATGAAGGCCCTCGGAGCCTATGGCACCGACAACAGGAACCTCATCTTGACCAGGTTTCTCTTGTATTACCTAAAAGCTGCAGGCCAAAAGCCAAGCTTTTGTGGTGGTGGTGGTGGTGGAAATCATGGGCAGGGCAAGGAAGGGTACGGTGGTCTCGCGGACACTGCAGTCTATGGAGTGGCACTGATGGGAAGAACAGCCTTTTCTTGCAGAGGACTCTTCTGGGTTCTGAGAGTGGTCTCTGGCTTGGGACTCAGCAGGGAGTGCAGGCAAAAACTGGAGATGTTGATGGGCCTCATGCTCGACCAAGCCACCTTGGATGATCTCTTGGTCTCCGGTCACAATGATGGTGCCTATGATGTGAATCTGGTGGTGAGACTGGTCAGGATCTTTGCGGGTGCTGAGGAGAGCAATGCTTCATCCCTGCAGAGGATGAAGAAGGTTGGAAGGCTAATTGACAAGTACTTGGGCGAGATCTCCCCTGACCATAGCTTGAAGGTCTCTAAGTTTCTTGAACTGGCTGAGAGCCTCCCAGACTCTGCTAGAGACTGCTTCGATGGGGTCTACAGAGCCTTAGACATCTATCTTGAGGTAAACCATCGAACACCTTTACGATTAATTCTTTTCTTGGATTACAGTTTGATTGCATGTAGAGATAGGCAGTCGTTTGGGTGAACATAAAGAGTACAAGAACTTCTGCAAATTCTCTAAATCTTTGTTACAGAGTACTACTAGAAGCAAGAAAGGAACTGCTTAATCATTGATGTTTCTGTGAGCTCTGCAATGTGTTCTCAAGAAATGTAGTTCTTCATTCATTTGGATAAACTGGTAGGAGGTTGGAAAAAAAATTCCCTTTTGATCTTTACATTTTTGTTTCTTTCTAGCTCAAATAAGTTCTGGCAGATTGATCTTTTCTGTTCCACATCTTCAGAGGCACAATTCAATCCTGTTCTATCTGGTGCTTGATGACAACCCAATCGTATATTTCTGTTTGCAAGTGATCAGCTATATATGTAGTTAGCAGATTTCTGACATGAATTCGTTTCTTATCATTACTAGCTGACCTGAATGCTTTCATGATCATGATCACATATCTGCCTTCGGCCATTGCTGATTTGGTTTGATCTTGCCTCAGTCACATCCAACACTCTCTATCGAGGAGCGAACGAGGCTGTGTCGATGCCTGAACTACGAGAAGCTCACGCTCGAGGCCTGCAAAGACCTTGCAAAGAACAGGAGGATACCACCAGGGATTGCAGTGCAAGCACTGGCCTCGCAGCAATCCAAGCTGCAGATTAGGACTAATGTGGATGATAGGCATGGCACAGATCAGAAGCTAAGAAGAGTTAAATGTGCCGTGCCAGTGGAGCACAAGAGGGCTTCTCCAAAGCTACTGGACGAGAAGGAAGAGCTAAAGTTCAACCTGCAAAGAATGCAGAACAGGGTGATGGAGTTGGAGAAAGTGTGCCGGGAGATGAAAGGTCAGATGTCCAAGATGGTCAACAACAAGTCCTACCACAATGCTAGGGGACTGTCAAGGCTCTGTTAGCTGTGTGCTTCTCCACTGTCCTCCTCAACCTCTACACCTCGCGACACCGAGTTTTTCTTTCTGTATAGTTCAGTAGATCTGAGTGGTGTACATTGCTAGGTGATGTTTACTTCTGATTCAGTTTCAAAATTTTGCCACCTACTGATTTGTTCTCATTCCTACCTTGTGTAGTAAGCTCTAGATATATCAGATCATCGAAACTGAAGGCTGTTTTCAGATATTGTAAAGCTTCTAAGTATCCTAATTGTCATTCTGAGTTTGATTGAGTTCGTCAGCTTTCCTTTGCTTTCCTCATTCATCAGCAAAGGTGTCCACATGTTTAGGGATGAGTCTGACTACAATTGGCACATGATACACTTGATATTTGTTTTGGTTATTCCAAATCCAGAGGCATTCATATCTCCACCACATCTTGATATTAAACACTTTTTACTCAGAATCATAACAAGTATCAACATTTGGAAAGCCACTTGTGGATAGATTTTTGCAAGTGAACAGTAAAAAAACAATTAGAAATCACTGCAAGTTACCGAAAAGTGAAGTAGATTAAGTTCCATATTCAGATGCATTTGTAGGTTGTTGAAGAATCCAAGAAATAATCACAATTAGGATGCCTTCATATATAGACAAGGTGGTGGAAAATGTGTCTGTTTCCAATGGACCACATCTTCCATTTAGCTTGACATATAAAATTTATACTATCCAAGTGGTTTCCTAAAATTTTATGGAGAAAATTTTCCTTCATAAACTCTAAGTATTCAACATGTCTTGTGCTCTGAACTCTATTACCTCTAATTTATACTCTTGAGGATCAGTGAATAAATAGATAAGTCAATGTTTAATCCACATAAACCAAACTAACAGAAAATATCATATCATAGAAGACAAGCAAGTGATGATTCCATAGGGCCTCTGCACCTTACTTTTCTTTTGGGTTTCTTCCTTTGGACAATTGATGATTAATAATACATGAGCTGGTCATGAAGGTTGTACATCTGGTGAATTTACACTTTGAAGTATGTGAGATGATTGAAACTGAAGGGGGATTGTTGAATCTTATAAATCCTTCAGCTGTCCTAATTATTGATTGTTTTGGGATATGTTCTTCACCTTTGATTTCATGGTTAAAGCATTGCTTGTTTCAATGCATTGGGATTTCAAGCATCTCTGCAAAGCTGATATAATTGTTGCATTGGATGCTATGATTCAAAATATCATTTAAAGTAAACTAAGAATCTTACAGAATGATAATTTTTGTAGCAGGGGTACAGTTCTTGAGATCAAATGACTCAGAGTTCTAAATTAATGATTGCATTTGGAAAGCCATACAATTTTCCTCTAAATTGTAAAAATAATGATTGCATTTGGAAAGCCACATCTGAATAGCTATTTACAAACAAATATTTTGAGATCAATGATCAAAATATCCTATTACAAGTCACAAGCTACTGTACAAATGAATGAGATAATATTATTAGATTCCCTTTTTTAGATGGATGTGTAGGTTGTTAAAACATCACAATCACAATGTGCAACAAAGGGGCATCTCAATGCATGACAAGCTGTGTGTGATAAAAACCAAAAGCAGTGGGCTAAGTGCAGAAACTGTCAGTCTCTGTTGTGAATTATTTAAGGCTCTAAGGATGCATTATAATCAACAAGTGGTTAACATAGATTCTATGAGAGAGAGAGAGAGAGAGAGAGAGAGAGAGAGAGAGAGAGAGAGAGAGAGA